ATGGCCAGTTTTTCCTCTGTGACTAGTACAAAGTCAGTAAGTGTATGATGGCCAGTGTTTTAAAATCTGTTAAGATTATTCTAGTGTATTCCAGCCATAAGTAGAAAGCTGGAATTCCATTCCGAACATAGCCTACGTTTGCCATAACAAGCCATAACATCAGGGTCGTGTACTGTATCATTCATAACTGAATTAAGAAAGCCTTTAAATTCTGGTTCAGTTCCGTAAATTGAACTGAATTTTAATTGAGGAAGCAAACAGGGTTAAGAATTTGCATGTAAGGAAGTAAAATTAAAATAAACTGACATTCATATAACTAATTTTTAACTAGAAAAAAATTTGAATGTTGAATGGACAAAGCCTTGTTTGAAAGCCTTTATTACTGAAGGTTCAGGCCTTACAGACAGATATCTATAGAATTTCGTACGTTTCATAATATTTAATAAATGATCTTTTGTGGGCAAGAGTGTAAGAATGTTTTTTTCCACAACACACTGTGTTATTTTAATTCATGCACTTCTTCCCGTCATTCCAATTCAAATTTTAAATTCAAACTTGCAAATTGAAAAGGGGCCAATTTTTCATTTCAGAATTTTACACATCCCTGCATATCATTATGAATGATGGATCTGATGACTGTTAATCAGCAAACTAATGTTTTAAACTTATGTTTATTGTTTCCTTTTGTTCTCTGGAAGTCTGTATCATACCTTTAAAAAAACAATGTAGAGCCGCAGGGCAGGTAGTCTGTAGTATGATTCAATCCAGAGGTTTTCAGTGCTGTGCACTAACACAACTATAATGAAATCGTGATGGGATCTCAGTTTCCTTGGGTAGAAATAGTGCTGACCAGTGTCATTCAGGCTGCGACTCAGCAAACAGCTGACGATCTATCAGACGCCTTCAGAATCGCTAAAATTAGGGTCCAGAAAATGCTTGCAGTTTAACGGTTAAAAAATGCAAATGGCGCCTCAATGTTGACTGTGCTTTCCTTTTTTCTTTTCCCTTCGCTTCCCTGACATTACCATAATGAGCCTGCAGCCATTTCTATAACAGGCTGCCTAAACAAAGCGAGTGGCCGGGCTAAAACGGAGACACTGGCACCGCTAGCTCCTTTTTAGTGCTTATCATGAACCGAACAGAGTTACGGCTACAATGTGCCAGTTAACAGCACTATTCTCCCGGTAATCACTCCTACTTTACGTAACTTTCTACCTGTACTTATCTCGGCTCAGCACACATGAAGCCGGAGAATGCTGAGTTTAATAATAACCGTGACACAGAGTGAGTGCACAAGAAACAGTGGCAAGAGACTGCCATAGCCAGCCTGACAAAGCGCTTTCCATTGCACGCCCACTGTTCTGGTCCTCGACACTTACTCTTTATGGGAGAGAAAGAGAGAGAGAGAGTCCTTTGGGGAAAAAAGGGAAAGCTCAGAAAAGCTTGGCTGTTAATGACAGCCTCCTCTCCTCTGTCTGAACATAAGCTCCTCTCCATTGTCTCTCATTCTCTCACTTTTAAGTGGCTGTGCCAACTGTATGGAACATTTATTAAAATAGTGCGCTAAATATATTATGAGGAAAAAAGCCTACACCTCTTCTCCGTAGCTTCTGCCTAATCAGAGAAAGGAGAGCGACGTCCTCGTTTTATGTAACTTTTAGTTGCTGCCGCTACAGATGGTTTTTGAAAAGGCTCAGTAAGGGAGGTCTTTGAAGACTTGAGCAGCTCTTTGCCTGGTTCTGCCGGCGCACTGCTATAAATCCATCTGTTTGTCCTTGTGTAATTGGAGGCCAAGGCAGCGGTGTCATGGTATGCTTTGCGCTGTCTGGTGGAGCATCTCGATTCATTGTATACATCACAGATCCTTTGTGTTTGACAGACCTTGATTTGGACACTCGTCGTGCAACGTTGGCTCAAATGCATTTTGACATCGTGTTTCTAACTGTTCCCGACAGCATGCTCACACTGTATAGTTAATGGAATTCAAGTCATGGGAAAATATTAGTGAGCGGGAAAAGAAAAGGCGGTGGAAGAGGAGAAAGCGTAGCATTTTAAAAGAGGGATTTCTACAAGTAGCTCATGGGAGCGCAGTCGTTTTTCACTTGCCGGCGTTATGGATCAATTGTATTTGCTTTCATTGACGGGACATGTATTGACTGCCAGGCAAGGCTTGGTGGAGCCTCTCTGAATATTTGACTATTGATCAAAGGGCCAAACCTATCATACTTCACTTAGGTTACATGGTAGGTTTAAGTACTCATGCCGTGGATTCAGTCAAATGCTCAAAAGCTTTTCAAATCCCTGCAATTTAGTCACATTTCCCAATAAACTCAAAACAAACAGACACACCTTAGGGAACGAGTTATATAAACGAGACACGTAGGAAGAGGACTTCCATCGCAAAACATCCTTTTTGTGAGGGCGAACAGAGAAAATGCTTCCCTAATTGTTACCAAGAATCTTATGACAAGGATGTATGATGTATTATTATTTCAGAAAGGCAAAGCCACTGTTAGTTTATCATGCCATATGTGTTTGTCTTTATTAATGACTTTCGGTCGTATTTCAGGATGCTGTGTTTTTCTTGAAAGTGGCGTATAGAGGAATATGACACAGAATTAGATTTGCCTTAAGAAGCATGTAGCAGATGCTGACTTGATTTTTGAAAATGAACATCTTGATTGACATCATGCTAGCTTTGTGAGGGCTACCAAACTGACACACTGATTTACACATTAATGAGTAGGGATGGAAGTTGATTTTGGTTGAGATTCTGATTATAGTTTCTTAATTCCTTTAATGATTCTTGCAGTACTTTTGGCAAAAAATAAATAAATAATTTATCCTAATTGTGCATGGTATTCCATACTAATGTGTTTCAGTGAGGCATCAACTGATTCAGAAATTCAGTATCAGTGACTTAGTTCAAGAGTAGATGCTGTGAATCATTCTTTTGCCATAAATGCACCTGTTCAAAATTTTCTGTTTTGTTAATGACATCAGTATTCAAATATGGGGCAAGTGTTGTTGTATGTTTTGTTAATGACATCAGTATTCAGATATGGGGCAAGTGTTGTTGTATGTACCACAAATGGCTTGCAGTGATTCTGCAATGATTAAATCCTGTCAGCATATGGATGGCCCATGTGACTGGTGACAATCTGAATTGTCAACACTCATGTGAGATTTAACTAAACTATTAACTGGTCTCGAGTAACATGTCTAATCCCTCCTTGACTTCAACTCTTATTTTAGACACACAGAATCCTTGTTTGGTTTTCAGGGTTTCAAAGTAGGGTTGTAATATTTGCTCCATGTATCTTTACGGCAGGCCTCCGATCAGTAGCTTCAAAAAGAAAACACTCCTCGATTCTTAATCACTAGCAACTCAGGTTTAATTAATCATTAGGCTCTCTCCTGCCTCACCCTTTTCTCCCGGGGAGCCTTTGCAGGGCCAGAGGAAGGATCCATGTCAAGGGAGGAAGGCCTCTGTGTGTATGTGTGCATGTGACCATGCAGCGTTCCTCAGCAGTTCTTCAGAAAGGGTTTGGCACCACTAGAACGTGGAGTACATTTTCCTGTGGCTTATGCGATATTGTTTGCATGGTGAGTGCCGTTATGAATTATGCAGTTGTAAAAATATTGAATGTGTAAGAAATTCAGCTCCATGACCATTTATATCCTGGTTGATTTATTCATGATGTTGGAGGAAGGATAGGCCAAGGAGATGACTGGATGCTTTAAAATAGACTCATCAGTCTTTCCATGTCATGGACTTGGTTCTAATGTTTGATGATTATTAAGATTGGGATTCATGTTTATGGTCAAATACAAACAGACAACATGCGCATTGCGCATACATTTACTCACAGAAGATGACTATAAGATCGAGTTTGTGTGTGTAGTTTCTATTACAGGGTTTCTGTGGGTCTTAAAAAGGTCTTCAGAGTTTTTAATTCATATAAATTAAGGTCTAAAAAGGTCTCAAGCTGGAGCAGAAAGTCTTAAATTCATTAAATCATGCCATTAAATATTGCATGCACTACAAAAATAAAATTAAAAATATCTTCCTCAGTATGTTTTGTCTTCCAATACAAAAATCTAAACATCCTTAAATCAAGATGCATTTACTTTAGATGCAAATGGAACAAATGAAGTTTTGTTTTCTGAGAAATTGAACAAAACGAAGTGAGTTTATGCTTAAAAAAGAACATCAGTCAATAGGCTGTGAAAACTTGTTTTCCCTTTGAATTAATCATAAACTCATACATTTCTCACTAAACGATATTTTACGCAATTTTGTTCTTCAAGTAAAGTATCTTAATTTAAGAATATGTAGTCATTTGCACTGGAAAACGGCAGAAATACTGAAAAACACTTTTTTTGCAGTGTGATCAGATGACAGATGTACAGTGAAAGTTATTTTCATATTCTAGTGGTTGGGAGCAATGTTTTTTTTGTAATATGAATTAAAAAGTGATGGAGATTTGTTGGAAGTTGTATTTTTAAAATGTGAAGTGTTGCTGATACAACACATTTACATCTAGAGATCATATTGATGTATTGCACCATTCAATTTCCTTCAGTTTATTTATTTGTTCTTAAAAAGTCTTACATTTACCTTCATAATACCTGGAGAAACCCTGTATTAGTTGTAGTGTGTTTACAAACACTTAATTTCGGTCAGACAAAAAACAAAAATTCATCTTTATAAATGTCATGTCAATGATAAAATCGCGCAAGTCTGGTTTTTGCAAAACCAAACTAGATAATGCAATTTTAGCCTGGCTTCCATTACATTTAATATGGAGCCAACAAATCATTCAGAGTCGAGGAATTCCTTATGTTTTGGCTTTAACTGTCCTATACATTTTTTAAGAAGCTGCAATAAAGTGAAATCTATAATAAATTGTGAATCATTATTTATTTTATGTTAAATGGGAGAATTTGTTTGTTTGTTTGCATGCTACAGGGTGAGAGAAAAGCGGTCCCACTGATACCTGTGACCTGGTCGACGAGAATGCGGGAGGTGATTATCCGTCCGTACTGTGAGAAGAGCTGTTCCAGCTCCTTCTGGGTCATGGTCTTGGGCAGTCCACTCACGTACAGATTAGCGTCACGGATAGAAGCCGAACTGGGCCGTGCATACGAAACCTGTGAGACAAAAAACACACAAACACATTGAGCATTTGTTGCAATTATCAAACTACAGTGGTTTATGTGGTGTAGGAATCCGATCTCTTGAACTCCACATCCACACGTGCTTGTTAAACATTTCATTTCAATTTGGCTTCTGGAGGATGTTTGTTCAGGGGATTTATAACCAACTTCTTGCATTTTCAATATGCAGCATTCAGATGCCAGAGGTCGTCTGCGCACCTGTTCTGTCTCACACTGTGCTGGTGGTCTGTATTCTTGCATTGACCTGGAGCAGCTAGAGACTTCAGAAAGATAATGCCCCCAAATCCTCCACTTAAGAACAAAGAAGAATCTCTTTGACTTATTATAATATTTTGAAAAGGAACAACTTGCTGCGAGGGATTCTCTTTGATCCTTGCTCATTCACAGATAAGGGATATACACATGACATCTAAAGAGCTTTGCAAATTGTCTTAAAGGAGGAATGAAAATGTAAATTCAGTATTAACGTGCACCACCTCTAACCCAGTTTCTGAAGAGAAACAATATAGCCAAGAAATTGGATACCCAAAGTACAGTGGTTGAAGTTCATGAACCCTTTGAACTACAGGCATAATTGCGGTCTATTCTCAGAAGTCTCCAAAAGTCATAAAGAAAAACAGTTTTGTTTTTGTATATATTATTAAATTTTTTTTCTTTATTATTCTAGGTTAATGTTTTCACATTTTATTTTATATAAATGTTTCTTGTCATATAATTTATAATGTACTTTATATAATTGTTTTATATTATTGTTTAATAATATTATGTGTTATATGCTTTTAATAGTTTATACAAAATGTAAAACATTAACTGATTAAATGCAGTTGGTATCATGATTTTGTTTTTACAGCATTACCTATTGTTAATGTATAGGGCCTTATTGTATTGTATTGTGCTGTAATTATTGTATTACCAAATATTTTTCTATTAAATACTTTCCCAGTTCAGATCTTTAAAGCGTTTATTATTCTAGATTAATGTCAAAATGTAAACATACGTTTATACATATTTATACATTGTTATATATCAAAAGTGAACAATACTCTATTTGTGAGTGTGTTTGTGTGTATGCATTGCACATGCACACACACACACACTCTATATATTTACTATATATTATTGTGTTTTATTATTGTAATTCATGTTTAGCTTGAAATGTAAAAAAAATATTAGAATATAAAGAGATAAACATTAATTAATGCAGTTTGTATCATTATTTTAATTAATTTTTTACCTAATTTTCTATTAAATGCTTTCCTAGTTCAGGTCTAGAAACAAATTACTCAAAGCGTCAATGGTACAAATTGGACAGTTTTAGTTTCTTTTCTACAGTTGTACAGATTGACTTGTTTTTAAAATATGGTTCATGAACCTCACTTGAAACCCACAGCAGTAAATAATAAAGGCTAATTTGTTTTCAGAAAACACACATGATGGAAGAGCTTGTGTGTGAGTGTGAGAGAGAGAAGGCTGGCTGTCATCTGTGCTGAATAACACTTTGGAACCTTCTGTTTGTGCCTAGAGTGAGAGCCAAGCCATCTATAGCTCTCTCACTCTCGCATTCCCCACACGCTCTAATATCAGCGCGCTGTGCTTACTAGCACCTTGGACAGCGCTCATTCCACCATACTCCCTCCATCTAGCGCTCACCCGGCACGTTCTCACCTCTCTCGACTTGTCAAACTCTGCAGCACCTTGGACAGTGTCTGTCACACTCTAAAATGCACTGTACTTGTTTTCAACTTCACATACCAGTCTCTTTCTTTTCTTACACACATGATGCAATTTTCACCCATTGCAACCATTCTCAATCAAATTTCAGAGTCGTTGGCAAATTTAATACTATAATGTCACTGAACTTTACACAGGTGTACAGAGATAATTAGGTATTTTTTAAAGTAATCCTTGTGGGAAACTTCAGTGCTGTGGCTCATTCTGGATTTTCTTAAATGAGAATTCTTTTCAAAAGGGTAGTTCACTCAACAATGAATAACACCCTTATGTCTTTCCAAACCCATAGTCCATATGACTGCTTTCATACAAATATAATTTTCATTTCACATGACTACTTTTATTACAAATATTTCATAAAATAGTTTCATGTGATGAACAGACCACAATTTTAGTTATTATTCACCAATATTCTTTCCCTTCACTCTGTTAACTGCTGTAACTGACTCAGTGTTGGACTTGGGAACCTGATCTTTTTGGTTTTTGTTAACCAGATCAATTGATTAATTTAAAAGATCCTACTCAAAAGAAGAAGAATTTATCATATATGTACTAAAAAGACTACTATTTGATAATGAATGATAAATTCATATGATAAAACGACCGTACTATTCTCAAAATGTCTCCTTTTGTGTTCCACAAAAAGTCATATGGGTTTGAATCGACATGTGGGTGAGTACAGTATACAGAATTATGACAGCTTTTTCATTTTTTGAGCGAACAAACCCATTTTCTGAATTTCCTTGTTGATTCTACGTTTTTGTCTGTCTCGCTCTCTCCCGCTACAGCAATTCAGTTTTAATTCAAGATGGGGAGATGTTTCTATCTCCCTGCCCTTTTAATGCTCACGTCAATTTAATCTGTTCCCATTAATGGTTGAAGCAGCCTTTCCATCTCATATTTTCATTAGTTCTGACATTTGGGCAGCAGAGCCATCACAGGCTGTTACACTGCTACAAATGCTGAGCTAAACATGCTAAACACTCCGCCGTAATCTCCTCAAATCCACTTAAATGGAGAAGGCAAAATGCATGGAACCCTGGCAGACTCTTCCCTCTCTTCTCTTCCCTTCTTTTCCTCTCCTCTTTTCTTTTTGCGTTTTTCTTGCCCTGTCAAGCAGCTCCAGATGTCAGATCTATCAACACCTTGTCTGCTGTGAGCAGTGTGTGTGTGTATACACGTATCTCACAGCACAAGGCTACGCTCTTCTCGCCCTCAGTGGGATTTCTCGCATCACACCTCGACAGGAAGGCAAAGCCGGAGTTTTGCTGAGAAACGGAGAAGTGTCATGGAGAAGTGTGTGTGTAACAAAATGATGAGCATGTGGAAGTTGTGACTGGAGTGAAACTCTCACTCTTACTCTTTTTTTTTTATTTTTCAGCCAGTGAGTTGATCTGTTTTCATGGACTTCCTGCATTAGCTGATGTGCTCGAGCGATGGTGTGTCCCTGAACTTGACACTGGCGTTTTTGCAAAAGAATATAAACTCACCGTAAACCGCCACAGACGTTTTTCCTCACTTCCTTTTTCTTGGCTAAACAGCCTCTTGTAAACATACATCATC